GAGTTGTTGTAAACCAAACTTACATCAGAGCCAGTGGAATGCTGCTCTTTTAGTTAGGATGTGGTCACTGTCCTGCTGTGTCGGGTCTCACGTACACAGAGAGGTACTGGCTGCATGCTTAGTCTTTATAATTACTCTGGTGGGTCTCTAAACCTATAATCTCCAAGCTAGTCTTATGATGTTGTTTGATCTGGTCAAGTTTATTGTTGGCAGGATTTACAGTGTGTGAGGAATAATGATGAATGCACTAGTCCTTTAGCTCGGTGTTTCCCCACTGGTATTCAGAAGAGCAGACCTTTATGTCAAAATCGTTAGCGCAGAATTTACATTTGCACGGTGTCCTGACATTTATGGTCCTTTGAGCTTCCGTAGGGCTCCGGTACTGTTTGATTTGTCACAACCAACATTCAAAGGACGAATGTAGCAAATATACCCATGAAAACTGTAGAGGAAACTGAAGAATTACCATCCAAACTCGTTAAATAACCCAAGAAGTTCCTGGCACATGACTGCGTCCCCCTCTCCCCCCGCCAGCCCTCGGAGATGGAGGTGGAGTCTCAGGTCCACCTATACGGGCACACGGCCGAGGTCACCAGCCTGTTCGTCTGCAAGCCCTACAGCATCCTCATCAGCGTCAGCAGGGACGGCACCTGCATCATCTGGGACCTGAACAGGTGAGCTCCTCTAGTACAGCTCGTGGCGTTTTCTGCTCTGTGCGATGTGCTTGCACACGGGTGTACACTGAATCAATAACCATGGCTTGTTTCCTCCCTTTAGTGCTGCATTGCTGTCCATCAGAACTTGAACCGTCCTTAAAGACTGCTGTTATCTTATGTCCTTTAAAGGAGTCTCCTTGTATTTCTGCACTACATCTTCTTTAACTGCTGAGAGCCATAGTATCCAGGCACCAGTTCTAAACACATTCTCCTCTGTTGAACTGAGTGCTGCGATTCTAACTGCGGACAACCTGACCTACTGTTGGTTGTCAAAGTGTATCTCAGTGTGGGCAGCTGTGAAAGCCATTCTCTGCCCAGCTGCAAGTTTATTTTAAAGGTTGACAGGAACCTTCCGCTGCAGCCAGTCTGTGCAGTTGATGAATTTTCATCCTGGGCCGCAGCTCGCTCGGTTCTGCCTGCGTGAGCAGTTTTTCCCAGGAATGCTGACAAGCGAATGGCCAAGGGGCCACCCTTTGCTTGTAA